CCTATGTATGCCATTTTTTACTTTCTTTTTGGCAGTGGCACAGCCGCATTGGTTCTAGTAATATGAGCTTGATGGTAGGTTGGGCACAGACACGTTTACCACGGTATCATTTACTGTTCTAGATAGCATGCTGATTAAAAGGCGTGTTTTTGCTATTAAACTGTTAGCAACATTAGTGCAGCAATGCATTTTTTGTCATCTGTTGGAAAAGAGGTGAGTGGCATGGTGGTGGAACTGTAACCGTAAGCCCAGGCACCTCTTTTTTGGCAGCTGGAATTAAACTGCATTTGGAGCTACAGGGACCCTCTGTTCTGCTGCTCAGACGTGTTAATCTGCTGCTTAATGATGTGCTCAGGCAATGCGAGTACGTCTTTAAAAGCCTAAGAGTAGACAAAAACAGGATGGTGAGCAGAACCCTCCACTCTGTCCCACAGCAGGTTGAAGCAGCAGGGGAGATGCCCTTCAACAGTGGTGAAGGTGTTGATTTGTGGCTGTCACCTGATGAGAACCTAGCCTAGATAGAGTGAAATTACGGCCAGGCTGTGACAAATTTTTGTTTATGGACAAGAAACATCTTGCAAGAACAAACAGGATGAAATCCTGTTCCTATTGATGTCTGACAGTGATTTCAATTGTACTAGGATTTTGTTCTTTAACTGAAATTGTTTTTAAATACTAGTGAGGACTCCTAGCCATGCAGGCAAAAATAAGCTGTACTTACGCTACAAAATACGATAAAATTAAACAGGTTTGCGGACAGACCATAATGACTTTTTAGAGGCTGGCTAGCAAAGCCAAGTGTAGCGTCCTGGTATTTTGAGTCTGTGTATACAGTGCTGAGTGCTGCAGTAATTGATCTCATTAGGTTTCTAGTACGTTGTGCTGATGGCTCTGCAACTTTTTTGTCTGGAGTTATTCTAATATGTTGAAATCTCCTTCATAAGTGTGCACATCCAGATATGTACACACACACGCTGCCCTTTAAAAAAAAAAAATCTACCCCTTCAGATTTTTTTTTATCTCCTTCAATAAATTTATGTGTCAAATTTGAATGATGAAAGCGAGAAGCTTTTAAAAAAAACCCACAAAGCAAACTACAAAAAGCAAACACAACTTCTTAGAAATCCTCTGGATTTTGATCAAAAGCATTTTTGAAGGCTTTTTTTCCAGTCAACACCACACAAGCTCCGTTTGATTCTCTTTTCAGCAACAGTAATCTGCTAAGGCAATGTGAGTCCATCCCTGAAAACGCTAAGTTGCAGTACTGTAGTTTGAAATGCGCGTTCCTGATCCTTCTGACAGCGGTGAGGTCGGTGAAGCTCCATCAGCCGGGGTCATCCCACCAGGATTCACAGGTTTTTAAGGGTCTACCTAGCCCCTGTGCTGTAAAAACCAGCTTTTCCCGTGAGCACAGAAGTCAGTGCTCTGGTGTGCATGCATGGTTTGCAAGCAGAAATGGTGCTCTGAGATGTTTATTGCCAGAAAAAAAATTACAAAAACATTGGATTGTGTTTTTAATACAAACTAGATGCAACTCCCCTGCCATGTGAATCCTGCAGTTAACATCAGAGAAGTAAAAGGTTTAAATCTGGTTGTTTTTCTGTTGTCAGTGTATGGACTGGAGTTCTTCAGCTAAGTCTTTACCTCTTTGTATAGTGTTGACTTTTTAATGTTGGGAACAAATTTTATCAAATTTTAAAAGAATCCTGTTGACGTATTTTAATTGTTAATTGTTCAGCTAAAACAATGGTTTGCAGCTAAGACTAGAAATATCCCTGATATTTTTTTTAGCTGGAAAAAGTTTTCATTCTTTTCCTGTTACTATTGTTTCAATTAATTACTTAAATTAATGGTACTATAAGTGAATACCTCAGGCAGTTATATTCTGAAGGGAGTTCTGTGGTATTTTAAGCAAGGTCTCTTGTCATTTCACAGGCTACAAGGCACGGTTGGGGATGAATTCTTATTTTGATGGGGAATTGTATCTCGGTGTTTCCTGCAATCCCTTTCTGCCTCTGTGATGCTCTCTTCTGTCTGTGTTTTCTGTGGGCTGCTGTTCCCAGAATAACTCGTCCCTCCGTGACGCTCCTGTCACTCGTTCCTGGTTCGATGCATTTTCCATCAGGCAGAGGGGCTTTTTAAAGAGATTAAATGTCTCTGTATAATGAACTGTCTGTGTGCGAGTCTGACTTCACATTTTAAGAGTTTTAACATTGTCATAACAATGCATGAAGAGGCTAATTATCGTACTGTTACTGATTTTTATATATATGTATATATTCAGAGTTGTGGAAGCTTGACCCTTTGTTTAGCTCACTGAACACTAAATAAAGGCAGATCTGTCAGGGTCTAATGCAATTTGTCCAGTCCCTTTTCGATTCACACCTTCCAGGAATGCAGTTAAATTTCCTGAGCCTGCCTCCATAGACAAGCTGTTAAAACCTTTCCCATGCAGAGCATGCAGTAAATTTTTGCACCACCTTTCCTGTATCATAAGATCTGGAAAGAGACTGGAACTCATTTCATCTATTTTTATTAGCTTGTACAAGGAGGGTGTTGTCGTGGGCTTATCCGTGGCCATGTGCCTGGAGGTGCTCCAGCATGACCTCGCGCACAGCCACAGATGCTTTGCGCTGTACCTTCTCCAGCGTGGGCTTATCCTTGGGCCACGGTCCCTTCCGAGGTATACCTGCTGTGGCATGGACGTAACCACAGCCACAGATGCTTCGAGGTGTCCTGCTCCTGCATGGACTCGTCTACAGTGAACCCTCTGACTCGAGTTCACACCGGAGTTCCAGCCTGTCAAGTACAGCAGCGATGCTCTGGCCGTCTGCCAGCCCAGACCCCATCGCCGTCGTTGCTGTCGTCAAACTGTTATCCCAGGCATGGCAGAGTCAGACCATCGGCACTACAGCAAGCAGTGAAAGCGAAAAGCGGCCACTAATGAGCACTCGACTAATACACAGTGAGGGAGGCAAGCACAGGAGCCTGCCAATTAATAGCTAAACAGCGGTAACGGCTACAAATCCGTACTAGCGCATTCCAGTCTTGAACCCTTTGAGCCCCACGTTGGGTGCCAAAAGGGGCTGTTGTGGTTTAACCCCAGCCGGCAACTCGGCACCACACAGACACTCACTCGCTCCTGCCTGCTGGGGTAGGGGAGAGAATCAGAAGGGTAAAAGTGAGAAAACCTGTGGGGTGAAATAAAGGCAGTTTAATAGGGAAAGCAAAAGCCACGCACGTAAGCAAAGCAAACCAAGGAATTCCGTCCCCACTTCCCATGGGCAGGCAGGTCCTTGGCCATCTCCGGGAAAGTGGGGCTCCATCACACGGAATGGTGACTTGGGAAGACAAATGCCATCACTCCCAACATCTCCCCCTTCCTCCTTCTTCCCCCAGCTGTACATGCTGAGCTGAGTGTGCTGTCATAGGGTGTGGGATATCCCTTGGGTCACTGGGGTCAGCTGTCCCGGCGGTGTCCCCTCCCAACTCCTTGTGCCCCCCCAACTCCTCGCTGGTGGGGTGGGAGGCAGAAAAGGCCTTGGCTCTGGGTAAGCCCTGCTCAGCGATATCTAAAACATCCCTGGGTTATCAACACTGTTTTCAGCACAAATCCAAAGAGCAGACCCACACCAGCTACGGTGAAGAAAATCAACTCTACCCCAGCCAAAACCAGCCCAGGTGTGAAGGGAAAAGTTGCTGTGTCTGGCTGGACATCACTTCTGGTCCTGACAAACACCAACCCGTGTCCACAAGCAATAAAAGGTGAATTTGTCATCTGCAGCACAGGGGAGCAGTGTGGTTCTGCATTCTCCCGAGGTGCCGATCCTCTGTGTCTTCCCAGAGCATTTGCAGACTTAGTTTTAATTTTTGAAGACCACCTGTAGCTAATGGGCAAAGTTAACTCCATGGTATGTACGGTGCTGAGCCCAGAGGAGGGAGCGCATCAACGCCTTGGCACCTCTTTCGTGTTCTTGTGGTCTCGGATGCGTGCCCTGTGTGTGTGTGTGCGTGTGCACATACATACATCTGTGTGCGCACATATATCCGTGTGCATGTGCACACATATATACATGTGTGCGTGCGCACATATATACGTGTGCGTGTGCACATATCCGTGTGCATGTGCGCACATATATACGTGTGTGTGCGCACATATCCGTGTGCATGTGCGCACATATATCCGTGTGCGTGTGCGCACATATATCCGTGTGCATGTGCGCACATATATATGTGTGCGTGCGCACATATATACATGTGTGTGTGTGCGCACATATATACGTGTGTGTGCGTGCACGGAAAGCAAAGCTTTCCTCCTCCCCTGGGGCTGGGCTATAATGCCCCTGTGCCGAGGGAAGGGGCAGTCACCTCTGGCAGTGACATCTCTCTGCCCACGTCATGCCATGCTGTATGCCTGCCACCTTCTCACAAGACAAACTTTGTCTTGACAGACTCCAGTGCTGGATTTAGGGTGATTTTTATTTAAAGCATAAAATTTGTGCTTCAAACTGTTAGAAATCAACACAAGAACAGTTTAGACCGCTTCCTTTGCTTAGCCTTCATCTTCCAGCTCTGCCACCATTTATGTATCACGTTAATTGCAATTACTTACACTACAGAGACAGGAGCCTGGGCCTGGTTTAGTGAATTTTAGTATTGGAGTGTGCCGAATGGGCTGAGCCCCCTCAGCGGAGCTGCTCCAGGGAGGATCTGGATGAACTCCAAGGACAAGCAGGAGCTTCAGCCTCCAGTGAGTCCCTGTCCTCCCAGCGAGGCTGTCAGTGACGGCACCGGTGGGTTTGTGCTGTGGGCACATCAGCTGGAAGCATCATCAGAGACCACAGAGCAGCGTCCATGCAATCCGGTACCGACCATCGCTGCCGGCACAGGCTGGTCCAAGAACCAGACCTGGGGGCAGGTGAGGCTCCGAGCCACTTAGGCACCGATCCCAGCATGAGATGACCCAAGGTGGCCCATGGCTGGGCTTTGCTGTCCGCTCCTTACGCGTGGTCACTCACTTGGCTGGTGGCTGCGTTGCTGCCAAGCCCTTTCCAGGCGCGGAAGCTGAAGAAAGTGCTCGCCCCGTAGGCGATCATCACAAGGCAGGCAAAGAACTGGAAGAGGAGCACACTCCACGCGTGAGCGCAGCGGTCGCCCCAGCCCCATGGCACTCACCTGCCCGCTGCTACTTACAGATGCCGCGGCTCTCCGGTTGTAATCCCACTGCCGCCAGGACGTAGGCTGCACAGCGGCCGCGCATGTTACGAAGGCGGTGACGTACAGGATGGTTGCCACAGCATTGAAGATCATCAGCTGGGGAAGGCAAAGAGGAGGTCGTGAGGTCTGGGCTCAGACTCGTCCATGCTGGGACGAGGGATGAGCAAAAGGCTCAATTTCGCATCCCTGCCTCTTCCCCAGGAGAACCAGAGGAAAAGGGTCCAGCCCCTCACGCTGGGAACAAACCCCAGGTTAACATCACATTAAACACACCCCAGGTTGCACCGAGAGGTTTCTGTTTGGCACCACGACCGCAGCAGTGATGCGGTGGCTGTAACTTTCTGGACTGATGCGGGGCTCCCTGTTGTGAACATTTTCTAAGCAGCTGAGGGGCAGAATGAAACCATGTCATTGTGCAAAGTGCAGGGGACTTTGTTGCATCAGCCCCAGAAAACCTGAAGCCCTGGTCCTCTTGGAGCATTTCCCCAGGTTGTTTCCCACTTGAGACCCCCTCTTGCTCCCTCTCGGCTACGCACCACAAGGGGCCAGGGGACCATGTAGAATTTCAGCTGAAGCTGCAGGAGGTAAGTCACGAAGAAAAGGACTGTTACTATCCAGAAGAAGATGGACACGAACATCACCCAGCTGTACGCTGCGTGGAGGTGGTACGTCGTGTCGGCGATGAGAGCCCATACCAGTAAGCCGAGCACCTGCGGGGTGAAACAGGGAAAGCATTTGGGTGGTTGGCTCCTGCAGGTGGAAACCAGAGCATCCACCGCCCACAAGCCCGGGCTCACCAGCACCTACGGCAGTTGGGTCACCCTGGCTCCAGCAAAGCAGGGACACACGAGAGCCACAGAGCAGGGCTGGACTGGGGGACAGGTCGGGATAGGGAGCCCACCTGGGACCCTCCTGGCTTGGGGATAGGCCCTTCCCTGGTACTGCTGCCCCCATCCCCCCCGGTACAGGGCTGTCCTGCAAGGCAGGGTGGGTGGAACCTGGGCATCCTCACCACCAAAGGTCCCTTCTCAACCAAGAAGCCCCAGTGCCCAAGGTCAGTGTCTGCGGGTGCTGGCTCAGCGTCAGGCACAGCTCATGGGCTGGATGAGAGCTGGACCTGTGGGGGCTCATGAGGCCCCAACTCAGCCTTGACCTCCGCCAGGTGCAGCATCATTTTTAAAAAAAGAAGAAGAAAAAGCAAGCTTCTCAGCTTCTCTCCACGCTTTGGTTAGGTCTGGTCTGCTTTATACCTCTTGTATATACAGTTTCTGTGGCTCACCTTTCACCGTTAAGCGGGTTTAACTGCACAGCAATTGCAGCATCATGTGCCTGCAGAGTGATCCACAAAACAACCAGGCAGGTGAGTCTGTTTCTGGGTCTGCTCAAGCGGAGCCAGGGCAGAGCCGTTTTCTCCCCTCCCTGCAGCCCCCGGCACAGAGGCGCAGGGCAGCGGAAAAGGCAGCAGGGAGCAGGTCTCTGCCCTTGGCTCCCTGGCAGGCAGGGACGGAGGGGCCCAGCCCAGGTGGCATTTCATTTATTCTTATTTTCTTTCTTTCCCCTCCCTGTGCCGAGTCCACCCCTGATGTTTGGACTCTGGAGGAGATGCTGCCCTGCTTCACCCACAGTAACGGAGCCAGGGAGCAGCCGCCTCCTCCACCATCCCCTCCCCGGGGAACTTCCCGGAGCAGCAAGTTTGTGGGTGGTTTTTTAATTTAGAAAGCCCCTAATCCATGATGGAGCAGGCAGGGGATGAGACACCAGCACATAGCGATGGGGCTGGAAAAGAAAGGCTGTTGCAAAGCAAATGGCGCTTTCTGTGATTTGCCCTGTTTGTTCTGCAGCCTCAACCCACGCCCGTGCCCACTCAACCACAGCCCGTGCCCAGGGACCCCGAGGGGGGGCTCCGGCAGCCGGTGGTTGCTGGTGGGCTCCGCTTCACCGTCCTTCATCACCTCCCAGCTGGACCAGAGCAAAGTAGGGAGCCTTCGCACTCATTTCCCAGGAAGCAAGAAGGATCCAGCCCTGCACCCTCCGTGTTTCCCAGCATGATCGAACGTCCTGGGGAGATGCCCACGGCAAGGCAGGGGTGAGAACGTGCCCCTGACGCAGCCGTGACATATTCTGGTTCCCAGCTGGGGTTGGGATTATTTTGGGCAGAGCCAGGTGAAGCTGCCAGCAGCCACCCGGCTCCTGCGCTCACCTCTGCTTTGGCAGGGGAACCGTGGAGTCATCTCCCACCGGTGGGGAGGAGAAGGGCTCTTTGGAAAGATGCTCTGCCCCTGCGTAAGCCCACATTGCTTATTGTCATGGAAGAAACACAACGGCCTTTGTCCCACCCGTGTACAACGCCCTGGTGCTTGGCTGCCCTGACAATGCCTCCTTGTCTGTCCCATCCATTTCTAACACTCGTGACTGCAAAATATGCGTTGGGGAGAAACATGTACAGGAAAAAGCCCTGTGTGCTCCAGGAGCAGGAGGCGGCATGTGCGAGCTGCCCTGCTCCGGCTGCTGCGGGGACAAAAGCAGGAGCCCTTAGTTGAGAGATTTTGGGGAGCAGTGGGTCTCAGTGGATGGAGCTGGGCGAGCGTGTTCAACGGTATGGCTCAAGCAATGGGCTGGAGCGGTGGGACCAGGTGTGGGGTTGAAGGGTCCCTTCTGCTGATCTTGGTTCCATCTCTCTGCTGATGCTCCTGCCAGACCGCCCCAGCAGCATCCTTCCCGGACCCTTCCCCGAGTGTTTGGTCCCATGTCACAACCATCTCAGCCATGCCCAGGGTTGAAATCTGGAGCAGGGAGCCAGGTCTGTGCCAGCTGTTTCACAGCGGCTGCTCCAGGTACATCCTGCTGCTGCCCCCCACAACGCTGCTCCGGGCAAGGGGATGAGCAAACAGGGTTCCCACCACAGCTGGGCAGCACCATGGGCAAACACCGGGGCAGGTCACATGTGGCCCCATATGCAGCTGGACACCCACCCCCACGCACACACGTTGCACCCGAGGTCCCAGGTACCAGGGGAGAGCGGCAGTGGGAGTTTATTCTGCGGTTGCCTCCAATGCTGAAGCAACGGAGAGGTGATGGTGCTGCTCGGTTTGACGGTGCGAAAACCCTTGGGCTTGTCTGAGAGCAGCTGCCAA